TTTTGAAATGTGCCAGAAAATAGAATACTTTGAGTTTCTGTTCTGCTCAGAGCAAAGAAAACATCATGGTCTCTAGTAGATATTCGTATAATAAATACACATACTCTTGAAATGGCAGTCCAAGAGCTGTGCCTGATCATGTAAGGTGAACACTTCCTTCAAACAGAATGCTTTTAAATCCTCTTAACTTTTGTGACTGTTAAGAGCAATCTGAATATGGCAGGGGATTGTCTGTACCTGACAAAATTACTCAAAATGTTCTACATCCACCATTTGAATATAATTCATGTGCTCTGTGGAAAGCCAACACAATATGCAGCTGGCAGAATATATTTTTTTACAGTTCTGAATTGTAGAGGAACAATGGCCAGCCTCACAGTAAAACCCAAATGGGCTTATATCTGTGCGGAAACCACAGGGGCATAACAAATGTGGGTGCCCACAAATGTCAGTTCAGTTACTTTTCTGAGAATCTCACTTTAAGTTCTTTGTATGAAGAAAAGTTTAAGCTTTTTCCCCTTGACAAGTAATTTGCAGCATATTTGCTTTGCATAGTCATCTATGTGCATTTATCAGAGCATCAACAAGAAACATATTTCTCTATTTCTAAACAATAACAGAAATCGCAAAAGATCACACAGAAAGTTTTTCAATTTGTTCCTCTTATTCTCTTTTTCCTCATTCAAGCAACCTTTCCACATCATACCCCTATGCACTATTCCTGAATTTTTCCAGCCATTTCACTGTGCATCTCTGAGGAGCGCCTGACTCTGTCTTCTGACAAAGCCCATTTCGTGTCTGCAGTTAGATACCACAAAGTCCTCCCTTTCCAGGTGAAGCAATCTCAGTTCACCCAGCTCCTCCTCATACAGCATGTGCTCCAGCCCTCTAAGCACCTTAGCACCTTTCTGCTGAACTCACCCCAGTTTGTCAATGTCTCTCCCTTACTCTGGGGGATAAAACTGGACAGAATATTCCAGATGTGGCCTCACAGGTGCCAAACAGATCATTGCCATTGACCTGTGGGTCCAGTTAGCCAACATCACTGTAAGTACACATTGTTGATTCATGCTCAACACTTTGAGAGAGATAAGGTGTGACTAAATCTGGTTTATTTTGCTGAAGGTTGGTCATTTTCCACAAGCCGTGTTGCTGAATGAGATGCAGAACTTGATCTCAAACAAAAAAGATTACATTTATGCAGCAACTTTATGAAAAATGATATCACAGGAATAATTCAAGTGCCAATGAAATGCAATGAGAAAGATTTGAAATGTATTTCCTCATGGCTGTAGTCTAAGTAGTACAAGAAATGCAAATACCATTCACCTATATATTCATCTGTTTGATATCTCCACATAATTTTACTCATGTAAGGGGCTAAATACTGGCTATATGGAACAAAGTGTCTTGCTTTGTCAAATGTGATCATGGGTGAGAAATCTTGAGAAATCTTGGGCAAAACCACTATGTTAAGAAAATTGCTTTTCCCTTAAAATATCCCTTCAAAGAAAGTATCATCCCTTAATTTTCATGTGGCTATCCCTTGTTGCCAGACAAGAAATGTGGTTGCTGACTAATCTGTAAGACAGCAGTGTTGTAAAGTAATCTTGATAACGTACCAGTGGTACTGTCACAAAAGGTATTCATAACAAGCGGTTACCAAAGCACTGTATATGTATCTGTCTGCTGAGAGGCAATTATTTAGAGTTCAATGACCCGAGAACCAGGACATACACATGACTAGGTTGTGTTAATATAACATCAGTAATTTTATCAGGAAGGCACATCTTGAAGATGTTTGGCAAAAATGGGATTGTATGAAGGGCCCCAAAAGTACAAGCAAGTGATAGCGAAGGCCTTGAAAATCCAGAGACTCTGAGATATACACCCATCACAGTGGCCAAGTAGTGTTCACTACAGGAATGCAACCTTGTGAACTAGATAACAATGGGTTTAGGGATAACAAAGAGAACACAGAGCAGAATCCAGGAAATGTAAAACAAACCACTTATGGTAAAACTTGGAGACAATGCAAAATTGCTGGCCAGTGAATGAACAGCCAGTAAGCGGACGGTGGCAGCAAATGAATAAAAACAACCCTAAGTGAAGCTAAGAGCAAAGAGGAATAAACCTTCACCATCAATAGTGTGTTCTTCCTCGTGAAGAACACAAGACGCTGACAACTTGCTATAACCACCTACCCATCTTTTTTTGGAGAAGTAGACCTCTCCTGCCCCTTGTCAGCCTTTGGACCTCCAGGGACACAGGCAGGGTAAGCGTAACACAAGAGAAAGGAGTAGATACCAGAAAGCTTGTGTATGTGAACTTTAGCTACTTTATTAACAGAAATTAGCAATAATTGGATACTTTGGCCTAAAACGTCCAAAGTCCTTTTAACTGGACGGATAACAAAGTTTTGAATAGATTTTGCTAGTTCATTTACACTAAATAATAAATTTGTGGATCTGTATATAAGGTGTGTTTCTCTCACACACATAAATCGCAAGGGAAGTTGGGTACCCTGCACTTGAGGCAGTTATTAAAATGTGATCTTTTTCTCCAAGGATCACAACTTTGTGATCCCAACTGGATATAATGAGGTTGAACAAGGCTGGAGTCCATCCAAGAACTTCAACTGTATGATTTTCCTATGTACATAAAGTAACCTAGCTTGGAAATTTTGGTCAAAAAGAGTAAAACTGGATTTTCTGGGAACACGAGGGAGATCTAGGTAGGTGTTGCTACTCAGAAAGGTTGGAGGCTGCTGGGACTGCACAGATGCTTTCAAGAAACATTTGGTGCCACAAGATGGCAATCACGCATTTCCCACAGCCCTCACATCGGTAGAAGGTTCCGGAAGTTCAGTAGCATCAAGGAGCAGGAGAGCTACATCGCATCACGGCAATATAAACAAAAGTTATCTCAGGAAAGCAGAGTCATTATAATGTTGTACAATTTACTTCTTATAATAGTTTATTAATCTATCTTTATAACAGAAAAGCTACACGAGTTATGGAAACATGAAACTACATTTACCATCCTAAGCCTATTTTGGCGATTCTCCCGTAACACTGGGAACATTCGGAGCCTTGTGATTAGTACTTGTTACCACTGTTAAAAAGAATGATTCACTCCCCTAAGGGGGGGTTGCCAAGAGGGAAATGATGGAAAAAAGAGAAGAGTGGAAAGCTGGGGAAGAAGCCAGAACTGGTTTAGGAAAAAAAAATAATTATATATAGATATACATATATACACACACACACTCTGTATACATATTATGTATAGTGTATATATATACACTGCATATTTGATTTTTGCTATGCTACATATAGTATACATACAGTGTGCATACATATACACACTGTGTGCTTGTTCTGAGAGTGCTGCAAAAACCATGAACAAGCACAGTAAAATTTAGTGGATGAGTACAGAAACTGAATTACTAAGTTTCAAAGTTTGAAATTTCTGTTAGTTTAGTTCAATGTCTGGCAAAACAAGGTGAAGGATCCCTGTATCACCAAAAGTGGAAAAGAAAATAATTAGACTTCTGTATTTAAAAAAAAAAATAACCAGGTACACAACTCCAAGTCCTGAAGTATTCTCCGGCAACCCAAAATACCAGAGCAGCATTTACTACTTTATGAGATCCCTCCCTCACAAACAAGGCGTCTGGGATAGTATGATTCTCCTCTGAGACCCATTATCATAAATGGTGAATCAAACACCCTAAAATCTCCATACTGCATGTGAGCATCCATGCAGATAGATGGGTGTCCTTCAGAATGGATTCACTACACAGGTTGATTCACCATCTCTCATAGAAAAGGTCTGTCACCATTTGTTACAAGGCTGGATGAAATGCACACGCAGACGAACTTCAGTCTGTACTCAAACAACTACATACACTTTTATGCCAGCTACAGGCAACCTATAGATGATAATCTGTAAGTGTAGAGTTAAATCAACAGGATAGTAGACTTCGCTCAAGAGAAGACGTCAATGCAGCACAGACTAAGTTCACGTCATGTGCTGCTTTTGGCTAGCACATCAAAGTCAGCAAATATGCCTATGTCTGCATGGCAACAGTGAAGGAATTTATATTTTTCTAATTAAAATTATACTGAACCTCTGAGAGAAATAAGCACGACAAAACAACTGTTGACAGTATTAATGGCCTGAGAACAAGGTTATAATTCAGTAAATTGTGTACATTTTGCTCATCAATAGCCAAATCATATTCATGATTTATTGTCAACAGACAGATTTTTTAATACATTTTGCTTTTTTCCTCCAGCTTTACAGCCTCCCGACCAGTTAACATAATGATATAAGACAGTCTGTAAAAAGACAAGCGAACTCCACGTATATGTTATTAATAGTGTAATTAAAGAGACACAATAGACAAACCTCAAACATTCCTGGTTGAAAATGTGTTCAAGCACCACTTAAGCTTAACTGTACCAGTAACATGTCAGAGGAGAAACGTTTCTTCCAATCCATTCACGTCAATTGTTTGACAGCATTTCATGTATACTGAATTAGTTTCCTCTGTTTATGTGGGTGCTTTTAAAAGCCACAGGAGAGGAAAAGAACATACTTCCCAAAAAAAAAAAAAGAAAATTAAGACCATACATTCACAAAAGTTGCCAGAGCCACATACAGAGCTATACACATAAAGGAAATCTATGTAGCACCCAATTGCTATAAACAATGTCCTCTGCTACAATAACACTGGATTAACATCACATTTCTCATTAAAACTTTCAAAAACATCTGAAATGCAACATTCAGAAGACCTTTTTCTGAGTCTCCAAAAATCACTGCAAGGCAGTGCTTCCATAGGCTGCAGAAAAAGCACCATTTATGTACTCAACAACAGTACCTCCTGCAATGCACAGATTTTCTTTGGAAGTTTTCTTACATAGATATGGATTCAGGTGGGGCTTAGTTAACTTTACTCTTAAAAACTTACTTTACATTTGTTTAAAGAGGTTTACCTCTAGGAGCCATGGTTTTAGTTTTCTGTCCAGCAGAATATCAAATCCCAGGACTTCAAAGCAGACACTGTCACTTCCTGGTGCTTGCCCTGGCCTGCACATGCGATAAGCATGAAGAACATGTGGCTCTGCAACTATGAGAGTCTTCACTACTAACTCCTGTAGGGATGTTTTTCAGAAAAATTCATCAGGAGAGAAGACACCAGTATATTGAACTAACGTGTTTCATACTTTAATCTTTTAAATTTCATTAAACTATCTACTAAAAAAAGGTTCAAAATACCAAATAAATGGTCTATAATAAATAAACTATTCCTATGGGATAACAGACATATTTTTTCCTCTTTAGAGTATACTGTTATAAGTTCCATAGTACACACATACTTTTAGATATATAATAACTTAAATGCTAAAGGTATATTGGGAACAAAGTATAGTATAGCCAATCTTCACCCATTTAATTTTGCAATATAATTTTCAATAAATAGAATCATATGTACAGATGACACCTAAGCTCCAACAATCTTAGGCGTGTTCCTCACATAAAGACACCTGTAACATAAACACTGACTTCAATGGCGCAGGTTCTAGTCCACAGAAATATGCAACGCTGACTACAGTTTTGTAAATATTCACACATAAAATTCACTTTATACTGTAGAAAAGTATCCAAGAATTTAAATGGGATGGTTCCTTTGTATCATATTATTTATGTGAATAACTGTTTGAAAGGGCTTTTATCCCTCAGAAAAAGTTTAACATTAAATTTATAACCAAACTCTGAATTTAGCCTTTTAAAAACCATAATTATCCTTTATAGTATGTCCTTCGTGTCATGCATTGCTGAGAATTTGGATTAATAAAGTTTCAAAAATCATTCTGGATTCCAGTAAAGCAGATAGCAGAAGCAATTAATTTTCTAAGAATATACATACACAAAATAAAGAAAAGCATATTAGTTTTATCTTACTGAAATATCACTCCAGAATTTGGAGACATCAAGATTATTTGTTTCCAGAAATTCAGTAAACCATTTTATGGAGCGTTTGCTTCCTTTGTCTTCTGTTTCATCCCGTTCAAAGTGTTCATTATGTTTATTGACAGAGTAGTTAGTCAGATGCATATACAATTGACTCTAAAAAAAGAGAGAAAAGACATAAAAACACTCTTTAATACAACTCTAGAATGGTCAATTCAAAATAATGAAAAGAAAAAAAAATGTTAAATCAATAATGACAGTCAAACAGTTCATATTTGCAAATAACATTATGTGCAGATTTAGTGTTTCTGATTCTTGGAGATTTCACCTACTGAATGTTCTTCTTATAACAGCCTTCCTATAACAAAACCTGCTCATATTTAAGCCAGTTGCAGTCAACTGATCTACCACTCAACATCTGGTTAGGCAATATATCTCCCATTTTTACAGGTCTGTCTGTAAAAAACTACCTAAAAAAGTGAAGAGCAATTATCATAACTTACAGAATGATTACATTCCACAAGAAGCAAACAATAAAGATGCTATTTTGAAGTGCTACTTTAAAAATGCTAAAAACCACTCTGGCATCTGTTTCATAGACAATCCCACATTTCAGTTTTCACTGTAGTTTATTTATGAGAAATGTGCTCATAATAGCGATACTTTAAAATATCTTGTACATATAAACTCATCTTCCATGTTGGTATCTGCCAAAATTGCTCATTTTTGAATGGCTGGTAGCCATACATCAGACAGAGATAAATTTAATGCATTACACAAATGAGTGAGTGCTATAGTTCCTTTACGGAGCAAAATGTCACCAGCAATACAGTCATGTTATCAGTTGCACTTTAAAAAAAAAAAATACATTACCTTTCCAAGGCCTATATATAAATCATGATTTATATGTTTACATTATCTCCCAGTACAGATATTAATTCAGCTTTCCACCTACACTACGATGACTGTCCTCATCACAGTGACAGTTCTCTGTTATGTCTGATTCCTTGAGTGTAGTTGATCTTCTAAGCTGACCATAAGCCTTCTGTTCCAATTCCTTTTTGATAAGATAGCCAATAGATAACACAAGCCTTCTGCTGTCATTTATCTCACTGCACTTACTTATGTTTAAAAAAACTTAATGAAACTAACAAAACCAATCAACTTAATTGCAGGCTAGTTAACAATATATTGTACTAGCACTACAAGTAATGAATTTCTCCCATGGCTTCCAATTACTGCTTTGAGAATCATTCTGAAACCATTGCTTTTGAGTCCTTATAAATGTCATCTTTCAAATTATTTCAGACAAAAGCAATTATTTTTCAGACTACAAAAAAATGGAAGTGTTTTTAGAATATTTGTTAATCTGAACTAATCTTTAGTCTGAAGTTATCCGGAACAATGTCACTGTGGAACAATGTCATCCAAATAACAATATCATTAGTGATAAGCCAGGTTATTTCATACAATAGACAAACTACAACATGAACAGTTGTGAGAACACAGAAACAACTGCCTGTTCTGTTTATCCGCTCAGAGCATATTTCAGTGCTACTAATGCTGAGATTAGTAACAATAAAAAATATTAAAAGCAAACTATTCCAAATACAATATTGGAACACTTCCAAACATACCATTTGTACTGGGCTTCAAGTTATACCTGCATTCTTCAAAGGAGCACGAAGAGGCAGTCACAATTTTAAGTGACAAGTAGGGAAAAAGGCTCTCCATGTGTTGTCTATTGCATAATTACACTGAAGCAGCTCTAAAAGTATATGGTATGGAAAAGGAAAGATACGGTGGCAACGGAGTACAGAATGAGGTATAAGAAACTCAAACCTACTGATGCCTCCCTATGCTTCAAATCTACTTCTTTCTTAACAGACACCTGCATTTTAGTCTATGCCAGAAGAGAGGGGTTACACCTCTCGACAGGGGAAGACGCTACACAGTGACCTGGAGGATTAAAGTGTCCAAAAACTTCAGCACGTCTCTTACCACTTCTTGGTTCTCTGCAAGTTTATAGGCAGCCCTGCTGTATCATCTGAAGTTGTCGAGTACATACTCCTTTCCCTGCTGAAGCAGTTACTGACAAACAACACCAGCAGCAGATTCCCTCACGTTCAGGGATTGCAGTGACCATTCTCATGCACCGGTCTTTATATCGCTGTTTTTCTGTTTTCTGCATAGGATCCCAATGCAATGGCTGAAACATTGCAGGATCCTCAGCAGAAGCTCTAGACTTCAGGGATGTTAAACAATGATCTAACAGGAGATAGATCTTATCCTCCCCCCTACCCCACCCCAAACTGAGTGTCAGACAAATATAAAAGCAACATAACTGTTCTTGAAGTGATTTTCTCTACTTCATTTTTAATGGGTTGAATGTCAGTAATTGACATATTTGCTTTCTTTTAGGAAATATTTAAACTCTTTAGCATACATACATGCAAAGTGATATAAAATCTTTATATGTAAGCAATAATATAGCTATACTTGTGATTTTGGTAGAAAAGCATGAGTTAAATATCTTTCATTTTAATTTTTTCTCTTCAATGACAATACAGAAATTCAGCCAGATGAATACCAAATTAAATCTCATGTCATAATTTATTTTATTTTACCTCCTCCAAACACTACACAGGTAAAATGCTAAGTGCATAAGCAATAAATTGGAATGAACTCCAACTTACCAGATTTGAGTCACTGGGGGGATGATACTTTTCTGTGCCCATTCTCACCAGTCCATCATGATATAAAAATACTTTTAATGGATCACAGGAGGTTACAAGAATATACACACGTAAATCAAACTTGTAGCCTTCCATAAGAAATGGTTTGTCAAGATATTCCTGAACAATCAAGTGATCCTGAACTTGTAACTTTTCTCCATTTCTTATTAAAGAGATCCTGGTAAAAACAAAAGTTGTTTTAAAAACACGGAACTTTGACATTACTCTTCGAAATAGATTTTCATGGTCACCCAGCCAGGCAGTCAGGCTAATGTCTACCTGGAGAAAGAGATTTACATATCTGACTTGTAGGGTAGAGAAAAAGTGCCATTCGCTTACATGGCTTTTGGTTTCCTGTCCTTTATGGTGCTTCACTGGATGAAAATGGCAATGAGCCATTTCAAAATAACTTTCTGCTTCCTTTGATTCAACAATTTGTAATAATGGGTTCCCTCTACACTTAGAAATTGTTTGGCAGAACGACCAGTCTCCAGCTTTTGTGATTATTCCTTAAGCTCTAAGAATAGGCTTCCAGTCTGTCTTTGTCACAAATTCTGCCTGAGGTACAGGTTGCAAAGGACTTCCAGTGCTAACCTGACTCAGTGATGATGTTTGCAAAGCAAGACACATCAGTACAACTAAGGATCACATAGATTAAGCTCAGTATTTCTGTATTCCAGTTTCCCCACATCAGAATGAAAAATGGCTTATCTACAGACTATAAACTGGCAGTCCCTAACTACATGGACCTTTAAATAACTGTAATAGCTAATATTTTTCAGTGTATCATTATTAACCCTAAATTCCCATAGTTTTTTGCCTTAATCTTACCCTCTATTATTTATGATACATTTCAGTGTCCTGGTGCTGAATACACTAATATACTGAAGTACTTTCCAGGCATTTCTCTGAAATATGCTGCTACCTTTCCCTTCAGCTTATCTTTGCCCTTAGAGGCACTGAAAGAGGACTGAAAAATAAGGAAATGGAAAAGTTTGGGGGCTTTACTTTTACAGTTACTCTGATATATTTTTAATAACTAAGAGCTTTACTATACTGTATAATCCAAATTGATACTAAAAGCAATAAAAGCTAAAGTTTAAATATCTAAAAAGAAGAACAGAGTTAAAAATGAAATTGCAACATTTATCTGATTGATTGTTTTTTACTGCGCAGCCCTGCCACAGGCAAAGCTGCTTCAACTCAACTGCAGGTTGCAGTCTCTGCAGGGGTGTCCCTCCTCCAGCATGGGTGTCACCTCCTTCCAAGAATGCACCTCCAGCCGCATCCCCAGCAGCGTTTACTCTGTTTCTCCTACACTTCATGGCTGCCACTCTTAAATATGTTTGTGCTTCTCTGACTGGCTGCAGTTTTGGCATGCAATGGGGTGGTTGGGCAGGTTTCAGAGCTGTAGAAGATCTTTTCCTTCTCCCACACATCACACCCCTGCAGCCTCCAGCCACCAAAACCCTGCCATTTATGCCCAATACAATCTCGCCCCACAAGTCTAAGCACAACAGATGAATAAATACATTCTTTAGATAAATTCACAATAAAAATAATCTTGATCTTAAGAATTACTTGAGCATCATCAGAAAATGCATTCTCTAATTATGCCACATTCAGAACAACATTAAAATACCACTTCCATTTAGCTTTATATTTTAGCTGTTTCTGCTTGTTCAGCCTTTGTCTAATACATAAACTTTCTTATACTGATCATACAACTTTAACTACAAACTTCTTACTAATACACAGCTTCTGTTAATGTCGTAAATAGCATTGGATTTCGCCTTTAATGGGTAAGAAGACTGAAGTTAACACGCAACTTACCCATGTCCCATTGCACCGTTAGCTGGTTTGACTATGAAAGTTTTCTGTCTACGTTTCTTCTTCAGTTCTTTTACATAGTTCTGAAACTGTGTGTATTCTGCAGGAAAGATCCACGTTCGAGGAACAAAACTATACTCCTGAGGCTGACTCTTGATCATTCTGCAAAAAAGTGTAATTGAGTTAAAGTCTTTTAACTACTTTTATGTATCAATCCTCAGGATTAAAAAACATTTATAGTAATTTGAGAAGGAAACTTTTTTAGCAAAATGCTGTAATATGAAAGTGAACTTCCGCAGTTCTTTAAGAATAGTTAGAGCTCTATAACATATTCATATGCATAATTTAAGAACAACAAAAGCAGACTATCTTGTGCGGTTTTGCTTATCATTGTGTCATATTTGCTTGCTATATTACTGTCATCCATCTCAATTTCTTGGCATCCATCTCACTTCTGTTACAGTTTTTGTTCAGTTACTTAGATGATTTAACGTGATTTAATGCTATGCCTATTCTTAGAAATATTAAACTTACAATAGACGATGTAATTATAGATCTCTTCCTACCTAATAGGCTCCTGGATTCCTGTATTCCTTCCTCCCCGCCCCCCTTCCTTGGGAGGAGTGGGGATATTTGGCAAGTTTAATATTGGTATGTATTTGAGGATGTATGAGGATCAACACACACAAAAAAAGAGGATCTGGGATATTTGGAGTTTCTTCACAGGTGCAAAAAATATTAATAACAGGGACTGAATTTAAAATTAAAATGGAAGCAATTTAAGAAGAGTTTTTTGTTTCTTTCTCGTCTTTTGAAGAAATTTCAAAAGCAAGGAATTGTAGTAAATATACTTTGGCACAGGCCAAGCAACTGCTCATGTACCTCCAACACAGGGCAAAACACAGAAGCTTGGATTTGTGTTTGGTACCAGCATATTGTGATCGAGATTCCCTGAGCACCTTATTTAGTCAAAAGAAAGCAAAGAAATGCAAAGCAAGACAAGGAGGGGAAAAACAGAACAACTGAAACAAAAATAAGGTTAAGACATCATAGGGAACAATCTCTAAAACTAAATCTGGCTAAAGGATGCAGCAAGATCCTGATCTCCCTGCTTTAATAGCTGTGGCAGCTGAGGTAGTGAGCATATCTCATTTTATATCTCTGTTGTCTGAATGCAGGAAAGAGAAATAGAAGAGGAAAAAACAGTAGAGAATTCAGTTAGTAGAAGTTTCCATCACCCAAAACTGTGTATCTGGCAGATAGGAAGCACATACCCACACCAGACTGGCAGTATGGGCTAGATATATATGGATTAGCTTTAAATAAAGTAGCTTTAATACTGGTTAACAGCCAAGTTATAGGATCAATGAGGACTTGGTGGTACTATGCAGACTAGTCTACCACAGTTCCCAGCAGAATAAATTCAGCCTTTGCTGAGTTAAATACTAGTGCAGCTAGCCTGTTTCAGGTACTCAGAATACCTGAAACTTCATACATAACCTCATATGAAATTAGTTCGGGTAACTCAAAACTACCCTGTAACACAGGGTGGACACATCTAAAATACAAATATCTACCAACTAACAGAAAGTGACTGGTTGTTTTTTAAAAAAAAAAAAAACAAAAACAAAAAACAAAACAAAACAACTGACATAGGAAGTTCCCCAACTTTGGTTTTAAAAATAATGGCACTATGATGGATTTTAGTACTTTTTAATTCATTACAGATTTAGGTATACTTCTACTTTTGTAATGGAAACTAAGTATCAGCATAACTAAAATGTAAAAGAGACTTACAATATCATTTCAATTTTTCATTTCTACTATGACCCTACATAATACTCCTGATGCAGCATAAGACACTTTTTCTTTAAGTGGCTCAAACACTAATGGAAAAAACAGAGCTGCCAACCACATCTGTAAGGCTAGGACTGTAGCCAAGCCCTACTGGTATAATAGATACACTGTCACCAAATTATTTGGCCAGCTACCCGACAAACACTCTACAGAAACCACAATAGCTATAGTAGTCTTGAAGTACTGCATGAGGTTCAGTGCTTCTGCAGCTTCATTGTAACTATTATTTTCACAAATCTGGTTTGATGAAAGCCACCAAATATTCACAAAAAAGTTTTAAAAACCATAAATAGATAATATAATTCATGATTCATGCATATTTTTAAACTACTCTCTATCTGCTATGTATTTACAAATGTTATTACCTTGCTAACTGAATAGCTTATCTAGGCAGAAATTATCCTATTTTTAGGCAAAAAGCAATTTCTGTGTTACTTTCCACCCCTCTCCAAATTATTTATCATATGCATCCTGAAGCGTTACATGACAGAGACTTGCCATTTAACTTACTCACAGGTTTCAATATACATACTCCCTACTCAATGAATATAGCTTCATGGTATTCTAGATATATTAATATTATTTTGTGACTGCAAATACATCAGTTCTATATGCCTTTTCCTATCTTATGCATAACTGAGTAGACTACAAACACTTAATAATATGAAGCAGAATACTTAACCATTGTTTACAAGTTCTGGTGCTTACTAAAACTTTCAACAAAAGAATTCAGCTCTCTTCTTTCCCTGCTTGGCCCTATTCAGAAATGGCTTAGGAACATCATCAAGTAACTTGCAGAATCAAGACCTATTCCATTACAATAGCCCTATTTTCCAGCACATCTGCTTTCCGCTACTGTGGATAACCACTTCTCCACTATACTGCTCTATCCTTTAGCTTTTGCAGTCCTTACCAGGAGGTCTGAGAATTAAACAGCAAGTTATTGTTCTTCTGAGTGCTATTTTAGCTCACAAATCTGGTCAGATTGTGCTCTTGTTTCTCAGAGTGCTTTCTGTGCAAAAGAATCAAAGGTATTGAACAAAACGTAGGTTACTAAAGACATGACTTGTCAGTCTGATAACGCAAGTTCCACTGCCTAGGTTTCAAGATCCTCTGACTTTTCAAGTATGAAAGGAGGTTGGTGGGTAGGTATGGATGAGAACAATTCTTGGTCCATGATCAGTTCACAAACCTTTTAAATGTAAATAACAAAGGTGTTGCAAAAAAGACCGTCTCATACATGGGTCTGTTCCCGTTCCCATTCATCCTGTATCCCTTCTCCCCCACTTACTGTATTCATTCGGTAACCACACTTACCCTTCACATGAGGAGATCTCATCTAAGAGACCATTTACAGAAATTAAGATCTAGTTGGTCCTACAACAGCACCTCTATTTTTTTTTTTTCCTCTTCTGTGTTCTTACATTCCCCTTGAAAACGATGCTCGTGCCTCCTTTTGTTCTCAATCACATTCCTGAAATGCTTCTATCTGTTCCATTACTCTGTGTCCCTACACTTTCTGTGTTGGGCTGTCTTCTTTCATATTACACATGCTTCATATCACACCGCTCCCTTCCACCCTTCTGCATGTAAAAACCACATTGTCCTGTGATCCAGAGTGCCTGGATATTGGCTGTAAGAGGAATTCCTGAAGTGCAATTCCTCCTGAATAGCATTTGCCTCTCAGAGTCTGGGAGATCTGTTCTTTTGCTCCATTCCCAACAGCTTGCATGAAATGGAAGGGTGAGATCAGTATAAAAACAAAGGTAGAAGTAAAAGAAAAACAAGAGTCTACTCTCCACCAGTTCTCAGTAGTTGTTTCATGAACTCTCAACGGTACAAAACCCGCAGCTATTCTGTACGAGTCAGTATCAGGAATAGAAAAGACTGCATGCAGCGGAAAAGCAAGAGAACTGAATCAGTGTTTCTGCACTATCCTGTTCAAATAAATTTTAAGACAGAACAGCAGCTGTATGGAACAAAATCCTCCACTCTACAGACAAGAGCCTGCCCAACCATGTATCGCAACTGACTTGTGATTTCACAGACATATGTCAGTTTCACAAGCAGTCTCAAGGCATATCATTTTGATTTTTATAAATCATGAATACTAAGTATTGAATTGTGAGGCTAGTACTGTGAAAAACAGACTGATTAAAACCCTGCTGGATCTACTGATATTAAATGAAGTCACAACATAGATATGTTTGACCCAGAGTTATCATATCAGAGAAATTATTCCCATCTTATCTATAATATGTGCAATCTCCACATTGACTACCTTTAAACTGTGTTTCAAACTCAGAATTCAGTGGTTTGAGAGGTATAATCAGACTGTATTTGAAAACAATGTGTGCATGATACCAACAGCCTTTTGCCCATTTTGCAATTTTTTTAAATCACAGAACTGTAGCAATACACAGAGATACCACTGCCTACCAGGCTGACCAATGTTGTTTGACTGCTTCGACCTCTCCAAATAGCTGTTTGCCTCCATGTGTTACCTCTATGTTTTTACTTAGAGTTTAAGTCTGGAAGGGGCAGCGCTTGTGTAGCTTGTATTGACACAAGGGAGTTCTGGCCCACACGTAGGACATGTAGACACCATAGCAATGCATGTAACATTTGCCGTATTTTCTAAGTTGCATACATTCTACATGCTATGTGTTGTAGTTACAAAACAGAAAAGGAAATAGAGTAAGAAAGAGAGAGAAGATATCACATTAGTTACATTAATATATGAAAACAAAATCTTTTTTGGTAACAGAAAATGCAGTGTAGGTAACGTTGGGAGCCAAAAGATTAACTCTATTGATAATTGCTCTTTAAACTCATTTAGATTAGAAGAATCAAAATATCCACCACATTTATCCCTAAACTCTTCCTTACTACCAGGCTGTTGAATCATTATTTAGTATTGTTTTCTTACAGGTCTTATCACAGATTCTCAGGTAGGATAATTCCCCAGAACCCAGTTATTCCACTAGAGTGAGGAGAATTTATAATTACACAAATGAACCACTCTGACTTCTTTCTTATATAAACAGTAAGATGCTTCACATTTTTAAAATTTTATATACACAAAAATATAGTCATTAATTATTTCAAACAAATAATATCCATCCACATACTAGTTATTTTTTCTGTTCTACTACAGGATATATGCCTGGGTGTATTATGCATCAAGTGTATTATACAATAATTTAAGGCTCTTCTACATTCTGCAATGCGTAGACAGAGAACTGAACCCACAATATTTTCCACTGAAGTCAACTGAAGAGATACAGTAGCCCACTCCAATGATACAGATCCAGGACCAAAGCCAAAGTTAAGGAACTTTGGAAATTATTCTTGGTCCTCTCACAGCCTCTTAGTAAAAATAAACAAACCTTACAAGCAATAATTCAGTATTGTACTGCATTAAATACCATGGCTGAAAAACTTCTTAATATGAAAAGAAAGATTACTTAGTCATGTTTCTTGCCAGAAAATCCTTTCTGCAGATCTCTCCCATTCCTGGAAAATGGTTGATTCTCTGAGGAAGTACAAAAAAAGAAAGTTAGTTGGTACTTTTCGTTTTCCTGGCATACCTAATAAAATCATTTAAAACGTTCAACTGCATGCTCAGGCAAACATAATTAGTGTTACATATAAATTATTTAAGACAACATCTTAGATTATAGTATGTATTCTTAGCAATACTAAAGATACTGTAAGTTGTATTCTCCTCCACCAACATGAGTATACCCATTGATTTCATTTCAGATACTCTTACTCACAAAGCTATCTAGGAACAAAGAATGCTATCACAAAGTAATGGTAAAAAAGAGAATTATTTATTCACAGAAACTGTGGAGAGAGTTCTGCTTGTTAACTTACTGCTTAAAAGCTTATGAGCAACTTAAAAATGATGTTCTGCATCTTCTTTCAAACTCTGATCATTCACAACACCCAACTGGCAGACAAAAGCATGAAAGAACAGCCCCAAATATTTAAACACCAGACTCCAAGTGGTATGAACAAATAACTCTGGAAAAGAGAATGGGATTTTAAAATATGCAGTGGTATAGCCTTATTGCAGTCTCGCTAGTGGTGTTTTGTGGGGTTTTTTTTTCCTCTCCATACAAATGTAACTGAGCAAAAGTGACACATTACTGAACACTTCAGTGAAGCAGTTTACTAAAACATGTCAGAAATCCTAACTACCACCTTACCTGATAGTTCCGAAGTTCAGCAATCTTTTCTTGTTGCACAGCAGAATCACTCCATATAAGATTAGCTGTTTCATCTTCATCACGTGTTTTCACAAATCCCATTTCTCGTATTACTACACGTACTACGGAGAAATCACATACTTAAGGAATATTTTTAACCTCTAAAATAGATTAATTTTCAAAATCTAAAAAAATCAATTAAGATTTTTAAACACTTCTAATATTCAACCCTTTGTCTGAGAACAGTGTTAGCATGCAAGCTATTATCTTGCAATATTTCCATCAGTCTATTGCAAACCTGTCATTACAATGTTACAGCACCTTGTACTGAGGCTGGAATCAGAGCAAAACCACTGATGGGAACTGTAAAGAGCTTCAGGGCATCCCACAATCATCGAGTAAAAGTCCACTTGCATGGCTTTTAGACTTAATCTTGGCTATCACATATGTTAATTTTAAAACACTGATGACAATAAGTGTCGCTGCAGACAGGAGACAAGAATGCCTCCTTAGTTACAAAACCAAATGCATACATCATTTTAATATAAAAAAATCAGAAAAGACTGATTATGTGCCAGGCATAACTCAGGTTCTAGGAGAAAAGGTTTTTCTGAAGTTGTCCCAAGCATCAAAATACAAAACATTAATAGATTTTATTGAGAAACCTCTGTATAATAATTAGAGTATTTAGCATTAAATTTACACTGTTCATCTTTCAAGGCTTTAAGTAAACTTCCAAACACATATGTAATTCATAATTAGATGGTTTTTTCCTTCTTGATTACGTAAGTTTTTGTATTTCAGGGCCCTTCCCTGAGTAACAAATGGGGAGTAATAGATGCACAGTGTTCAAAGCTATCAACTCAATGTTACAAAAAAAGAACAAAGGTTTCTTACAAAAGAAAATCCTTTGGAAATGTCTCACCGCCAACTTGATGCAAAGTCCATTAATTCACCCCATTAGTTAGTAATTCACTCACATCAATGGGTATTAGGATGAAAACAAAATATGTAGTTTCCTACCAATTTCATATTTTGTGCCAGCGACATTTGCAGTGATGACTCCATGCTTCTTCTTTCTGACTTTTCTTTTAATTGTGCTTTGATAGGGTAGTTCCGAACTCAGAGTCAGAGGAGCAGTTCCATGGTTATCTTTGAAAAATAATGTTGTAACTATCAACATCTTTATATCCCAAATAACATATACAAATGAACTAAAAATACAAACATTTACTTTGTCGCAACTTAGAGGTACAAGCATACTGAATAATTAATAGACATATTAAAAATCCAAGACTAGCATACCTCCCTCGTTAGGCAAGGATGGCATTATAAACTAGGATAGTGCAGAAGCAGAGCCCAAATTCCGTTCCAAGTTCTCAGAAAATGATGGAGCTGTCAAAGCCAAATTCTTTAAAGCTCCAGTCATACCATTTCAGTCTCTAGTTGTAACAAATATTAGTTCTGGAATGGATAGATACCTGTGCTAAAAAAATACAGGAGAAACTTTGTTATAGAGAAATCCTGAAAAAATATAAACAGCAGAAAACTAAATATGGAAATGCTTTTAATAACAAGTCAAAAGTAATGCTTATTTTAAAAGATTGATCAAGTTATTGTAAAAACAAAACTTTGTTCATTACAATTCAATTGTTTTGTTTCTGGGAAAAATCATTTTGCAGTATTAATGTTCAAAATGAGATTATATTATCTCATTTTCTTATTTTCATTTGTGTATGGGAGATTTTGGGCATGAAAATAGATAACACTGAATTCAATCAATACTGCAAACTTCCATCTCCACAAAGCTCACTGAACTTATAGCAATTTTAAACCATATTTTAATTAAAAATTTAAAATCAGACACACTGTATTATGTGTTTCCATGTACCAAATGGAAAATAACTGAAATCACTTTAATAATCTTTTTTCACTTTTTCATTTTTCAACATTTTTTAAAGCAATTGTCCAATAATCACCTGGTAACACATGGCTGCAGTTTCATGACCACTTTGTGACACAACGGACATAATTTCAAAGACACTTTGGGATGGCAAGTATCAAAATTGTCAGTTTCTAAAATGAGTAACTATTTACATAAAATGCTATTTTTCATGTCTACACTGATGCAATATTTCAATTTTCTTTTCAATACACTACCACATGTGAAAATCCCACATATTAAAAAGTTTTTTAGGTCCAACTTAAGCACAAAAGAACAATGGGCTAAAATATTACGAAAAAAACTCAGGAATAAAACACTTCTAAACAGATTGCTACGTGACTTCAGGCATGCATCACTGTTATAACATAGTCTGTCTTTGGCAGGCTGTCTCAAGCAAATCTACAAGTTTTCAAAATATATACAATGTAAGTCACTGATTTTTAAATGCTTTCATTTCTCTTCTGCAATTGTATGTGTAACTAAAGTTCCTTACACTAGCTGTAGATTAGTTTATATTGCCACTTGTGGTGACTGCAAAACTTATTTTAAATAGTTTTATATAGAGCACAAGGAATTTCTTCTGCTATAAATAGCAGAAAATTAAAGTCAAATTCAGCCATGACTTATGATGTGAAACACATTTGGTCATAAGATTAGACAAGATGTGCATTAGCAAAATTACCAAAACATTACTTATAAATCCTCTGTGTGTGTGTGTGTGTGTGTGTGTACACATGTCAGAGAGAGAAAGAGAGAGATACAATTATATTCTGGACAAGTCACCCTCTTGATAAGAAAATATAAAAGCAGATACCTCAAGTTGCAAGATCGTATTTCCCAGAAATTTACCCTTAACAGTCCATTAACACAAAAGGATAAAAAGAATAGATTATGGTTCTTTCATGACTGTTGCCAATGTACTAGAGGCCAAATTCTGCTTTGTAATAAGACAACCAAATTTCCCTCATGTCCATTTAGTGGAGTGCCACAAATTAACATTAAACATGACCCTGTGTATTTATCCAGAAAGTAAGAACAGGAGATGTTTTATACACACATACAATGTTCAACGGCATAGTAGTAACTCCCAGCCATACCTACTTGCAACGTACTTTGCTGAACCAGAACTCACTAAGAAAATCCCCCCAAATTGAACTAAAACTGGCAGGTCATTTTGAAATGTTAATATTTTGGGTACCATCATCTGAGAAGGTGGCCTGAAAGTCCTCCTGCCTGCTAGCCTACTAAAATTAGACACAGAGATGGGAAAGCAAAGCATTCATCCTCCTTAAAACCACTGTGAAGGAAAAGCAGTGCCGGGCACAATGACTCACTGAATATTGCGTGTTATCTGTTTCTCAAGCTAAGAATACCACCAGAGTACAAGACATGCTTAGTTCCTGGGAATAATACTGAAGTACGCCTGTTAGCCAATTAAGGACTTCTATGCACATACACAAATGCCTAGCAGTTGTTCCTCCGCTGTACTGGCTAAAAACTTCTAACAAATTTGGAAGAATGTCAAGACGACTAATATTTCCCTGTGAGAAACACAAGCCCTTACTAATACAGTATGATTTACAAGCTATGATATGATACTAAAAAACAAGCAGCTCGCAGAGCTTTCATTCAGCTTATAATCACAGAAAAGTATCTGCCCAAAGTTACTATAACACATTGTATTCTGAAGGTGGACCACAAAGCTCTAAACCGCACTATGTTGTTGAATTACTGTTTTTCTTTATATAGAAACCATTCTAATCTTTTGAGAAGAATACTCTTTCGGGTTTAAATAGAAAGCACCAATACTCAAGGTCCATGACTTTCAACCAGTCAACTTTTTAGCATACATACGTGAGTTGACAGTAAAGATTTATGGTCACCTTTAGAGTATTCTATGGACAATTAGTAGTTTGGCCATATGGAAAACAAAGTAATTGGACTGTCTAACTCTCACAAAACTCTCTGCAAACTGATAATTGAAGTAACTCTTTTCTTGACAAGATTACATATGACATAATTTTTATCATCACAGCTGAAGCATGCACTCCTCTAATGATGTCAAATCTTGTTACAACGACACATGCAGTCTATTTGTCAAATCCTGATTTAAACTGAATTCTTCAAAGACAAAAGGGATCATTACTGTACTCTGTATTCAAACTTACTCTAAGATTTTGACTTTTCACAACCACTGTCCGATGCCAATAAAGTTAAACTGTAGTCTGCCTTAAGCTTGTATATAATAATTCCAAATTGTTTTACAATTGCTTCACTTCTCTTAAGTCACCCATTTCCAAACAACCATTTCACTGAATAACAAAACACCAGCAGTTCTAAATTAGAAGTAGTTTTCCAAAACATCTTACATAGGATGCAGTCCTTTCCTTTGTTCCTACTGGAACGATCTTGTTTCCAAAGGGCAAATACAGGTCCAATGAAATTTGACAGTCTCGTGTTTACTTCACTAAGGACTGGATTACTAGCCCACTAGAACTAGCCTGCCTAGTAG